CTTCAGCCCACAATTCCAAAACTCGTTTTCAAAGTGTTTACGTTGTCGGTCAGAACATGGTATTAGTGTTTTCGTTGACATTTCTTGCATCCTCTGGTTAGATTTTTGCTACACAAAAACAAAACCAAAATGCTTTTCCCTCATTTTCTTTTCATTAGCAACCTCTTACTTTCATTCTTATTTTACTTTGGACCAACCAATTAAAAATAAATCCGAAATAGCGTATTAAAGATGACCAAATATGACTTCCACTTCGATATATAATCGAAAAAACTAGTGAAGACACCGATTGGAATGAGTGGAACGTGAGTTTTCAAGTAGTTTTCAGCGAAAACTGGTGTTCGTTTGACAGATTTTACATGGACGAAAACACAAGTTTTAGGGCGAAAACCAGTTTTAGCAACGAAAACATGTTTTCGATGTCGGTCAGAACATGGTATAACCTTGACGGCAAAGAAAGATCATAGATTTATACTTGGCCAAGGACTGTCACTTCAGCATCATTCCCCACATCTTTTTGGGGAATTTATATACTGTTACACCCGCAAACATAGTCGACCGGGAAAATAAGTTTATAGGGCTTTCGCACGCGCCGATTTTTCAGGCCACTTTTAGTTGAAGCAAAAATCGCCTCGTCCGAACTGCCTTTCAACTAATCGCTTTCAACAAAGTTGGTCGCCAGCCAACTTTGAGCTCGTTCAACTTTTTTTCCTTGCAACCCTGTGTTTGTTTACATTCTGTATACATACTTTTTTTCTTTTTTACTTTTATTTTATCTTTCAGCTTCGCACGTCTACCAACGCTTGGCTTACCAAATTTACGCCAATTGATAAAATTTTGCGATTTAAATTCATTTTCAATAATGTAAATAACAATTCGTGTTGAATCGAAAACCGCCTCGTCTGAATAGGGATGGCAACTTTTTCACTTTCTAATTCTCATTCAACTTCGCATTCAACTTTTGTTGCCTCTAAAATCGCCTAGTGCGAATGCCATATTACGCGTCCTTCGCCGTCAACTATTTTAACGTGTCTAAGCTCTCTTTCATAAAAATTTTCTTCAAGAATGGGCTGGATCATGATAAAAACATAGCAAGGTAGAACCGTTCTCTCAATTTGTCGGCCATGATTTTTTTGAAGTTTGCCAACATTTTAAAATCATATAAAAGTGAAAATAAAAAACTGAAATTGTTCGAAATTGTTGTTGCTTGAGATTGAAAATGAAAATGTGTGTGTGAGTTTGTGAGTAAATTTAAAAATTAAATTGTTTGGAAACGTCAAGAATTTTAAAAGTGACTCTCAGCGGTTCTACCTTACTGGATTTCGATTTCACAACGAAGGTAGAATACATGGGTTCACGACGGCTGCCTTATGCTGGAGAGTGGGCAAGTTGTCGAATCGGAAGACCATCCTCTTCCACCATTCATTATCAGAGGTGAGGCAAGAGATTCGTATTCCAATTATTTAAAAGATTTTAACCGAACCCAATGTTGAAATGACCGCTACGTTTTCTTCTAGGTTGTGTACAAATTTCATAACTGTGTCAATTACCAGTAGCTCACTCGCACAAAATTTGTATTAAACGCTTAGATAACCACTAAAACTGATAAATATGCTAGCAAATATGCTCGCAAAACAAAAAAACTTAAGTTGAAAAATTTAATGGACATACAAATGTTGCTTGATATTCTCAAATAAAGAAGATCTGCGTTGGTCGTTTCAATTTTTTTAAATATTCGTTATTCTCCATTTGAGATAAATTATGTAAATCTCTTCAATGACACCAATGCCTTCCCATAGAGACGAACCATTGGTTTTAAATTTTTGTATCCAAGCAGAAATGCAATTGAAGTTACGGGTTAATAAAAACTAAAGCTGTTTTTATGTTATTTGTTAATATTTCTTTAGTTCGACGAATAAAAAAAGCCCAAAAAATAGTCAAGAAAAATTTATTGAGCCAAATTTTTTTAAGCAGTACGAAGTTCTTTTCTACGCTTCTAATATGGTTTGCTAAAGTTTGTTTGTGAAGAGTACAAGACATCCTTGTTTTCAACATTAATATATGCCCGTTCCATTATTTCGTAAGGAAAAAGTGAGACAGCAGGCTGTAGAATATTAGATGTCAAAATCGGTTGGACATACACGAAATACTTGTATGATCGTTAAAATTAAGCTTGGAAACCCTGAATTAAGCAAAATAAGCTATTTCAAGCAAAAGCTTAAACTTTTCGGCCCTGACTAGTTATTACTATGGGAGTATACATATGTATTACTACGTTTATACGCACGTATAATTTGCAAATAACAATTTTCAAAATGGTAAACTTTGCCGTATAAATGCTGAGTTAATTTTTTATTTGCAAATAACTAAATCACGCAAATAAGTATTGATTTGTGGTACTATTTGCAAATAAGCGCAAGACGCCGCCATTATTAGGTTTATTTGCTTTTTCGATGGTCATCTTATTGCCTTTTTATAATCGAGACGTTGCCATTTTTAACTTTATTTCCTTTTTTGATGTTCATATTATTACCTTTATATAATCAGGCAATATTAAAAAAGAATTTTTCACCATCGAATAAACAGTGAGTTAGGTATTTGCAAATTATTTTTATTTGCAAATAGCTTACGTATAAACGTAGTATATGTGTTTTGAAACTTTAAAGGCGTTTTTTTCGAGTTTCGGATTTTTGAATTGTGACATTATTGAAGTAAATGAGCATTATGTTCATTTTCACAACATTCATATTGGATATCGAAGATAATATTCGAACGTTCGCCACATTATTTATAGGGTAATAAAAAAAATTAAATTACTTAAAAAGTTCTTAACCGGTAGATACTTTTTGGCATTCGCGATATTTACCCAGTACTTGTCAAAAAGTATCGAGTGCTCGATACTACTCAGTACTCATTAAAAGTATCGATATTCTGTACTCGGTACTCGTATCGATCTATCACTAGTCCCCTTTCAGACACGACAAGTCTTGCTTTCAAGTCTGCTCGTTCGTAGGCGATGGAGGTGAGAAGAGAGGGGAAGAGTACAGATACCTCCGTACCGTCAATTCGTTTCAAGTTTTCTTGTCTCTTTTGATCTTTTCGTTGCTTCCCATTTAAAGAACCAAGGACTTGAATTCAATTAAAGTTGACGCGTGAGGAAGCAAATAGAAAACACGAAAGAGAATGCGAAAAAAATTGCTTTCAAGACTTGACGTGTCTGAAAGGTTTGTTAGAACTAAAAAGGATCGATATTCGCCGCACTCGATATTTTCGATATTAAAGAGACAAAAACTCGATATATATCGTTAATTTTTAATTCTACACTGAAAAACATCTACTTATTCAAAAAATGAATAGAACCATTTACCAACAGAAAATTTTATTATATATATGAGGTACATATCTGTATTCGTATGGAAAAGTAGCTTATGCCGAAGGGCTGGATTTAGTATAAATCGGTATTCGCAGCATGCGATTGCGAATTACTCACAGACACTGAGCCGTTGAACAACGTTTGGCAAATAAACGTGCCAGAAATAGTTCCGATACTACCAAGTCAATATTCTTATTAAGTCTCATCGAAAAATTTCTTGTCGTTTAAAGAATAAAGGAAATGCCGCATTATACTAAAGCCAGCTTTTCGACATATGTCGAGTCGTGAGTAGGCTAAAGAAATAAAACGTCTCTTTTGTTACAATGGCATGACGACGGGTACGAGTGCGTTTATTTCTATGATAATGAAATACAGTTAACAATGAGCAGTGGTTTTCATATACGTAAATCAGATTAATAATACTCACCGCAGTTTGCGCCTTTCCTCTTGAACATTGACGACTCTAATAAATCAAAATGACGAACAACTTAAATAAAGACAAATGTCGAACATAAAGGTCGAATGTCTTACAAGAGTTGCCAACTGCGTAGAGTTCACAAAAACTTTACATAAATTAACAAAGCTTACGATGTGTTTACACTTTAAATTTGACTACGATAAGTTATAGGTGGACGTTTTGTCACATTCCCACCCCCGTGGATCGCTCAGATTCACCACTACGTACGTCCAAAACGGCCAGCTTTGAAGAAGGACGACGTACTACACCAGAGCTAGTCCTGACGTCCGCGCGCCGAATTACACCATCCACTCCAGGGAAAACACGCTCCACCACACCACGGCACCATTGTCGTCGCGGGGTATTAACGTCGCATATAAACACCACGTCACTCACTTCCAATGCTTTCGTCTTCTCCCACCATTTGGTTCTTCGCGTTAACGTAGGTAAATACTCCATTATCCACCTCTTCCAAAACCTATTGCGAAGCTGCCGAGCAATTCGCCACTGTTTACGAAGGGCACACGTTAGCTCTTCCGAAGCGTTTATAGAAGGCGTTTGCGCTGTATTGGCTGTACCCAGTAAAAAATGGTTTGGCGTAAACGGTTCGTCTTGGTCCACTGATATCGGCAAATGTGTAAGTGGCCGAAAGTTCACTATATTCTCAGCCTCAATCAAGACGCTCTGCAATGTATGCTCACGTGGCGCGATTTCCTTCAAGGTGTGACGGAGGACACGTTTAACGCATTGCACCATGCGTTCCCACACTCCACCTTCCGATGGGTTATCAGGGCAATTAAACACCCAATCAATTCCTCTTTTAAATAATTCGGTCTGTATTTGCTCACAGTCAAACACTTCATCGAAGCGTTTTGCTTCTTCCTTGACGCCAACGAAGTTCTTTCCGTTATCGCTGCGCATTCGGACTGGGACGCCACGCAGATTGATAAAATTTCTGATGGTAAGAATACACGAATCCGTTGTCAAATCAGCTGCTACCTCCAAATGTATAGCTCGCACCGTGAGGCATGTAAACAGAGCGATCCATAGTTTTTCAGTTCGACGGCCGATAGTTACGTTCAAAGGGCCGAAGTAGTCTATGCCCGTGTAGCTGAATGGTCTTACGTATGGCGTTAAGCGATCCTTCGGCAGTCTACCCATAATCGGCGGTTAGGGTTTTGCACGGGAAGCTCTGCAAACCATGCAACTCGCGACAACGCTTCTTAAAACTTGACGTATGCGGGTGATCCAGAACTTCTGGCGAATCTCCCCAATTGTTGTTTCAAAGTACTGATGTTTCATTCGCTCGTGATAATGGGTAACGATTAGAACAGTAAGCTGGTGCTTCTCTGGTAAAATTATGGGATGCAGGCAATCGAATGGAAGCCAAGTAGCAGCTTCTAAACGGCCACCAACGCGTAAAATTTTTTCGTCGTCAATAAACGGTGCTAAATTGTTGATCGTACTGTCACTACCTAGCGGTTGTCCTACTCGTAGTGCAGTGATCTCCGCAGGAAAGGTAGCTTCTTGCGCCACGCGACATAGCAATTTTTCGGCCGCGTTGACTTTGGATGCGCTTAGCCCATAAAATTCTACAGGCGAATTCTTGCGTCGGCTGCGGTTGACGAATCCTAATACCCATGCTGTTGATCTCTTGAGTCTGTTGTAAGAAGAAAATCTGTTAAAATTGAAAATTGTACTGTTAAAGAGGATAAGCATTGGTCGCGGTGACAACTCTTCGGTAGTTGTTTCTGTGGTAGTTTCAGCTGTGGTAGTTTCAGTAGAATGTTTTGGCCAATCTTCCACTCCCAATGATAAAAATTCTGGTCCCTTGAACCAACGAGAAGTTTCAGATAAGTCTATATGACGGCTGTGGCGTGTAGCATCGTCAGCAACATTCGCGCTTGTAGGAACCCATTTCCAGTCACACGGCTGAGTTACGGCTAGTATCTTCGCGATACGATGCGCTACGAATGGTTTATAGCGGCGGTTCTCGGAGTTTAACCAGCTGATAACGGTCGTAGAATCACTCCACAAAATACGGGTACATTCAAGGTTGTGTTCTTCGAGAATTAATTGCGATAGGCGAACGCCAAGCACAGCAGCTTGTAACTCGAGCCTGGGAATTGTCATTGGCTTCGTGGGGGCGTCTGGCTGGTGTCTGGAGTCGTCCCTCCAAAGAAACCTTTGCGCGCACTTATCTTCCGGTTGTATCTTGATCTGGTGATACATTTCCGCGATATCACCACAAACACCAATAGCTCCGATCCGAAAATTGTACAGTACCGTTGGCATTGGTTGGTAGCCTTGAGGACCCTTAAGCAAACAGGAGTTTAAGGATATTCCGTCTACGGTTGCAGCAGCATCGAACACTAGGCGGAGTTTACCAGGCTTGTTAGGATTTTCGACTGCGAAGTGTGGAAGATACCAAACCCTTGGGCCAGTTTTATTAAAATCAAGGGGATTCAGTTTTACCGCGTAATTTTTGGCAATGTAGCTTTGAATTGTCGATTTATATGCTATGGCAAAGTCACTATTCTTACTCATCTTTCGTTCAATTCCTCTGAGTCGTTGTTCGGCCATTTGGAAACTGTCTGGCAGCTGGATGTCGTCCTTGTGCCACAGCAAACCGGTTTGGTATCTTCCGTCTATACGTACAGTAGTGGACTTTAAAATATTCTCTGCGCGTACATCAGCGCCACTTCTCACCACTGGTGCCGGCCGCACTCCAAAGTTCTCGATTTCAAAGTATCTCTTTACCATGTCATGTAAATATTGATCACTCACCTCGTTCATATGCAAGCACGTCGCCCGTACCGTTTTATTAGTGTTCGTAGATCCGAATATCACCCAACCGAGCTCCGTGTTAGCTGCATATGGCCCATTCTTTACAAACTGCATGGTTTCCGTCGGCAGCCCCAAGTGGCAGTGATCCAAGCCAATAAGTAGTTTTGGCTTTACAATTGAAAACGTATTGGGTACTTTGCGCAAATATTCGGAGGCTCCTCGTAAATCATGATTACTTAAACTCTGCATAGGCAAATCCAGATCTGGCACCGGGTACACGTGACGCAGGTTAAAACGTTTGCTCTTTCCAGTTCCGCTAATCTGAAGGTTAACTACAGTAGCTGGTTGTTGTTCCGTCTTTCCTCCATACCACTGCAAACTTAACATGTGTTGATGATCTTTAACTCCCAACTCTGCTATCAAGCTACTGTCAATCATTGTCACGGATGAGCCCTCGTCCAGCATAGCGTATGTATTCACACGTCGTCCAGACCCATACAGTACTACGGGTAAGACGCGAAACAAAAGTTTATATTCATTGCGTGGTGTAGCGGCACAACTCAGGAGGGCATCGTTAGCCTGATTTCTGTTTTGCGTTGGCTCTTCTCTTCCAGTAATTGTGTTTTTTTGCTGCTCGTAGCGCTCTGATGTAGGTCTACTGGCATTCTTGTTAGATTCATGCAATAGCTTGTTGTGCTTACGATGGCAACCGTCTATCATACACGACGCTTTACTACGGCATTCCCGGGACGAGTGACCACTTCGCAAACACGAGAAACATAAACGGTTACGCTTGACATACTCCCACCTCTCATCAACGTTGTACTGTAGAAATCTTTTGCACGTACTAATTTTATGCTCTCCCATGCAAAGTGGACACTTGTTGTAGCTATTCCTCCCGACTCCTTTGTTCTGTCGCTCGTAGTCTTTATTGTCGTTTGCATACAGTACGACTCGTCGACGGGCCTCTGTATCATGAACAGTGCAGACCAAATTCGCGACATCGCTTAACCAGTTGCTAAAGTCTACAACGGTTGGGTATGGTGTTACAGTAGCAGCGTATCTAGCCCATTCCATCTTCTTGCTTGTAGGGAGTTTGCCTACTAACGCGGATTCTGAAATGAGTGAAATATCTTTAACCTGACGTAACTGACTTCGAATCAACAATTCGGGTCTACCAAAACGAAACTTTAGCTGTTCCATTGCAGCGTGTACGTTTTCTGGATGAATAAGGAGTGATTTAACAATTTCCCTAGCTTCGCCTTTTAGGCTTTTTAGGAGACGTTGGTTATTCTCCAAATTGCTGTAACCATACGCGGCGGTGGAATTAGTAAAAGTATTATAAAACAGCGGCCAGTCTTCAGGCAGCCCACTAAATTCTGGTAAATCCTGAATTGTTCGCGGCACGGCATAATTAATAGGCATACCTAGCGATTGGTTCACTTGTGCATTTGTTATTGTGGCTGCTTGAAAGTTATTGACGTCAGCAGGAAAGGTAACGGGTGGTGGCATTATAAACGGATGTACATTTGCACTCGCTGACCTTATAGAATTGTCGGTGACGTCGAGCGGCAGTTGCAAAGCACCGCTATGAACCCTACTGCTAGCGCCGCTCGACGTCGACTGCGCTGTCGACGACTCATTAGAAATGAACCGTTCTTCTAAAGCTTGCCGTTTGTTGTTGCTATCATTTAACTGCGCTTGAGTGTCCCGTAACTGGTGTTGCAACTCTTTAATTTTTTCGAATAAATAACTAACCTGTTGTGCAGTACTAATATTACGCGATGCTGCTGTGGCATTTGCAGCGGTGGCGTTGTTACCTGATGTGTTGCTGGCGGCACTGATAGCTGCGCTGCTTCCTACGGTGACATTTGCAAGGGACGTCGCAACGGCAGGTGTGGTTTTGGAGCTTCCATTCGGTCCACTAAAAACGGTCCCACTTGCAGATGTACTGGCGGCGGTTGAGGTGGTGGACAGAGCGGATGTTCCGGAAGTGTTTGGGCATGTTGTGTTGGACGTGATCATCGGGCAGACGGTTTTACTGGCGGTGTGATTAATCCTTGTTGTAGGCGTGGGCTGCGTCTGGGTGGTGCGTCTCGCCGGGTGGGGGAGCGTCCACATGGCATTTAACTTCTTTTCTTTTGGCAATGTGCAGCGTCGGCTTGGCTGCAGTTCGCAAGTCCCAGTGGTCGAAACTGCGAAATAAAGGTGTCGAGTCGTGAGTAGGCTAAAGAAATAAAACGCCTCTTTGGTTACAATGGCATTACGACGGGTACGAGTGCGTTTATTTCTATGATAATGAAATACAGTTAACAATGAGCAGTGGTTTTCATATACATAAATCAGATTAATAATACTCACCGCAGTTTGCGCCTTTCCTCTTGAACATTCACGACTCTAATAAATCAAAATGACGAACAACTTAAATAAAGGCAAATGTCGAACATAAAGGTCGAATGTCTTACAAGAGTTGCCAACTGCGTAGAGTTCACAAAAACTTTACATAAATTAACAAAGCTTACGATGTGTTTACACTTTAAATATGACTACGATAAGTTATAGGTGGACGTTTTGTCACAACATAAGCTACTTTTCCATACGAACACAGATATGTGTGTATGAACAGTGGCCCACACTCAAAATCACACAGTGATATTATCACAGTATTCGCAATGATTTTTCCTTCTATATTTTTTTCATTACTTTTTTATAAAGGTATAGCTCAATCTCTAACAAAAACCATATAAACCTAAATTGCAAAATTTGTGCAAAAATTAGAAAAAAATCAAAAAAGTTTCTTAAAAATTGCGAACTTTTTAATAAGAATTTCTATTAAAAAAATTTATATGTAGATTTGTAGTCTATTAATACCATGTTCGGACCGACAACGAAAACACTTTGAAAACGTGTTTTGTGATTGTGGGTTGAAGGCTGTTCACACCGGCTGTTAGTGTTTTCGTTGACATTTCTTACATCCTCTGATTACAGTTTTGCTACACAAAAACAAAACCCAAATGCTTTTCCCTCATTTTCTTTTCATTAGCAACCTCTTACTTTCATTAATTTTTTACTTTTGCCAGCCAATTAACTAAAAATATGACTTCCACTTCGATAAATAATCGAAAAAAACTAGGGAAGACACCGATTGGAATGAGAGTAACGTGAGTTTTCAAGTAGTTTTCAGCGAAAACTGGTTTTCGTTTGACAGATTTTACATGGACGAAAACACAAGTTTTAAGGCTAAAACCAGTTTTAGCAACGAAAACATGTTTTCGATGTCGGTCAGAACATGGTATAAAACAGTCACCGATGTTGTTTGGCGCAAAAATAAGTAATGAGAAAATGGCTAAGCCATACTCGATATCGAAAAAATATCGATGTCTGCAAAAAAAAAAAACAATTACTCGATATATCGATACTGACATCGATATATTTGCAGCTCTACCATTTGTGTCTCCAACTTTATTGTTTATCCGTATGATTGAAATGAAACGAGATTTTCGCGCTATCTACAATCGCGTAAACTTTTCTAAATCAAATAGTGTGCATGATAATAAAGGCAATTTGACAAGTCTATGTCTACTCTTCGGTTTTAAATGGGTACTTTAAGACATTTGCTTAGTCAGCCACGCTTACTTGGATGTTTGGAAGTTTTTAACGCCAAGTTATGTGGGCGGAATAACAATGTCGGGTTGAGACAATTGGCAACTTCCATACTTGATTTAAATTGGGAATATCTTAAAATTGCCGAAGAGAATATATTACTAAGAAAACATTGCAATAATGTGCCTTTGATAAGATCTCTGCTTGGAGAATTACATAAACACCCAGAGGATCGCAGTATTAAGAAGAAGATAGAAATAGAAATTGCGAAATTACCAAACAACACACATAGCCGATTGATGAAATATGGCGATGATCCGTGTGAAATATACGTAGAGCTTTCACGTTTTCCTAAAGCAGAAGAGTTTTCAGTTGTTTGTAAATATTTGAACTTTTTAAGGACGGAACATCTGGGACATTACAATGGGCACAAGAGCTACTATCTAATGGGAGATCTCGCTGGATTAGAACAAGCACTAATTCGTTATACTATCAAATACATTAAAAAGAAAGATTTTCGTTTAATATCTGTACCCGATATATTACCTAAATATATTATAAACGGTTGTGGTATGCATACGGATGGTGACCGGACTCAAGTTTATAAAATTATTACAGGGGAGTGTTTGTCCGGAACTTCCGAGATGGCTTTGGCCGGTTTATTTTCGGGTGAGATTTTTAACCAAGAAATCCTTCCTATTAAAGTGGCTGCTGTTAGCAGATGTTTTAGAGCAGAAACATCCGGATTAAATGAGGAAAAGGGAATTTACAGGTACTATAAAATCTTAAGAATTTTCGGAACTACTGAAGAATACTCACCGCTTCGCTAGAAGAAAACTAAATGTAGGAATCGATAGAGCTTTTTGAACGAATTATAACGATACTTAAATTTACTTGCTGAAATCAAAAATCAAATAAACACCTCTTTGAGGTAAATTTTTCGAGTGACGAAAGCTGAACTAGGAGCACAAAATTTATGATATCAATTTCGCGACGAAAATTATACGCATTTTTTAACTGCCTTGCAAAAGTTCTGTTTTTTATTTTGTGCTTCTAGCAGTAGACGGAATTTCGCAACGTTCCGAATCAATAAAAAAAGATTTTCCGTACGTTTCCAAGGCAGTTAAAAAATGCGTATAATTCTCGTCACGAAATTGATATCATGCATTTTGTGTTTCTATTTCAGCTTTCGTCACTCGAAAATTTTACCTCAAAGAGGTGTTTTATTTGATATCAATTATTTTGGGGTAGCAAATCCAAAATCGACCAAAATGCAAAAAATAATCTAAATGTTTTATTTTTCTCAAATAAATTGCTAAAAATGTTGTCTTAATCTAAATTATGTATTCAAATCGATGTGTCCATTGAAACATATATATAATTTTTCGAATACGGAATAAAGTGAAAAAGAATGATCATATCCTTTGTATTCGAAAAAATTAAAAAAAAAATTATGAGAAATGATAAAAACGTATCAATATGGTACCAACTTTGGATACAATAAGGTACTGAGATACTTCGCCGACCTAAACGGGGTTAGATCGCCGAAACAACAGCCCTTGGTCGGGTAAAACCCGAGTCATTCCGGTACGTAGAACTGGCTGTCGTGGGAATGCAGCAGCAGGTTAAACTCCTACCTAAGTAGATTGAATGAGGATGTGCCAAATGAGTGTCCGGCATGCGGAGAGACCCCACATGACTCGAAACATCTCTTCGCATGCCCTGGAAACCCGACAACCCTAACGGCTTTGTCCTTGTGGACCGACCCGATAGAAGCTGCACGCTTCCTAGGGCTGCCGTTAGTGGAACTTGACGACAAGGACTGAGATATCAACCGATCTGTGCACAACAACAACAACAACGGGTGTGGCGCGCACACCTGTGCTTTTTTAAGAAGTTTTACTTCAATCACGTGTACGGTGTTGCACTCGTGCTATTAAACTAATGATTTTTTCTCAAGTAGTTTTGCTCAGTGGCAATTTATACATTTTATGTAAGTAGTAGCGGCACATTGGGTGAACTAAATGCATGCATACTTACATATTTATGTACAACTGTAGGTAATATTATATGCGTCTTCCCAGGTAGGTTAAGTGCGGGTGATAAACCCATGTAGCATGGTTAAATACTGTGTACATAACTACAATTAAATGGTGGAAAATCCCACTAGAACTTGAAGGGAGATCTCCCTATGTGAGGAATAAAAGAGTACTCCCCTTAATCTGATTTCTGAGCAATAAGAGAGATTTGTCGGTTTTGTACTCCTTTATTGCTCGTTTAGGAGTCAAATAAGAGATCTCCTAAGCGAGCGACGAAATAATGCTCCCTGAGGCATGATTTGAGAGCAGTAAACAAGATTTCTTTGTTTTGTACTCCTGTATTGCTCGCTTAGGAGCTTAATGAGAGATATCCTAAGCGAGCAATTAAAGAATATTCCCTGAGGCATGATTTGGGAGCAATAAGCGAGATTTGTCGGTTTTGTACTCCGTTATTTCTCGTTTAGGAGCAAAAAGTGATGTCTCCTAAGCAAGAAATCCAAGAGTATTCTTTTTGATTGATAGGAGAGCAATACGCACCTCGTTCAAAAGAAATTTTGTGTTTTCGGAAAAATGTATCATAGAAAAAGAAAACAACAGAAAATATTTATTATAGACGCATATGGAGGACACAATCATTTAATTTGGATAGCACACAGATTTTAATAAAAGTCCGTTGGTATGTACTTAAACTTTTGTTTAAATATATTAAGTATTGTATTACTTATAAATGTACCGTTAAATACTTTTTAGATTGCGCAAATTAGTGTCG